ACAAAAAATTGAAATAATAGAACCTGTAGTGGCGGAAATCAACGGATATGTAGCCGGAAAAATTGGTCTTCACTCGAAAATACCCTCACCCGTAAACCCAAAGACAACACCACCAAAAACACTGAAATTGAACAATTTCTTGCAATTTAATCATCAAATGCAGCTAGAAATCAAAATTAACATACAAATACAAAGAGATACAAGAAATTCAACTTACATTTCTTCAATAGATGGAGCTAGAAATCGGTCCCAAGAAGCCCTAACCACCCTTGATCCCTAATCTCACACAATGTGGGGAGATAAGTTGTTGGAATCAACTAATTGAACACAAAATCGGGAGAACTTGGAAGAGGCGCAGCGTATAGCAGCAGCAAACAGAATGAAAATGGGAAGAAATGAGCAATCTGCGTACGTTTTTTTTTTATCTGCGAGAGCCTTTAGCGGCGACAACTAGGGCTTTACCGGCGACACAAGTCAATAGCGGCGACAATCTGGAGTGAAGGGTACCGCGTCATTTTTTAGGTAACTATTAGCGGCGACTTTTTAGACTTTTAGCGGCGACACAAATGTCGCCGGTATTAGGTTTGTGCGGATAAGGGACCCCAACCGTTGGATTAGATACTTGATCGAACGACTGAGATCTTAACAGAGGGGGAAAATGCGGGTTCGGGTGATAAGCCTTTAGCGGCGACACTATTACCAACGGCATGGACTTTTAGCGGCGACTCTAGCATTTGTCGCCGCTAAAAGTCCATGTCGCCGGTAATAGTGTCGCCGCTAAAGGTCGATATTCTTGTAGTGAAAACTAGCTACTTGGTAGTTATAAGTTAGGCAAAAGTAGTTGTTACCTTCAAAATGTGTACAATTACATAAAAACCAAAATCTATAAGCTCCCAAATACTACTTAAAGTATCTTATGGATTATAAGTTTTTTTGTTTAAAGTAAAAGTTAGCTTCTATTGACAACGAATATTTTCGAGATTTTTCTTAAAATCTAAAAGCTAAAGGCTTTGTTTAGTGCTAGCTGAAAAATTAGCTTTTAGTTTATTAATAATCTATCTCAAATAGCTTTTTCAAAAAACTAGTTTATAAGCTAGGATGAGCTAATTTTGTAACTCAAAAAATAACTTAGCTTATGTGTGCATGACACAGTGTTAAGCTCTTAAAAAGCTATATGGATAAACAATCACAATGCATTCAACCACTCTAGATAATTACTTTTTGGTACGAATTTAACCATATCTAAGTTTCTGGAATTACAAAGTACTCCTCGAGCAAACAGTTTTATCAAGTTATATTAAAATTTAGTCATTAAAATATGATGTTTCAACTCTATTTTTTTATAGTTAACTAGATCAGGGACGATGGGAAATGAAAACTCAGTTCAAAAGCAAGTTCCAAAAGTATCTGCTGCCGAACAGAATGCAAATTCAGTTCAACTGAAAGTATTTGTTGATGAAAAGAAGAAAAAGGTGATGTTTGCAGAAGCAGAGGAAGACTTTGTGGAAATCCTCTTCAGTTTTCTCACTTTGCCTCTTGGAACAATCGCAAGACTCTCAAGAAAATATGAAGACAAAGTTGGAAGCTTAACTTCTCTATATGAAAGTTTCGAAAATTTAAATAAAAAACTTTTCTTTAAGTACTGGTATAAGGATTGTCTAGTTAATCCAATAAATTCATCTGCTAATGTTTGCGAGAAGCTTAAAGTAAATCTAAATGGAACAAAGTCAATCCCTTGTCAGCCTGATGCAATCTTTTTCAAAAAGAAGGGTAGATTCATCATTACTGACGATCTCAATATCCTTCCTCTCGTGATGGACACAAGCATTGCACTCCTTAATTCTCTTGGTGTTGAATCCATTGATTTACTACATGAAAGAACTATATATTTTGGCTTAAAAGAGGTACTGTTTTTGGTTTTGATTATATCACCAATGTTTTTTTTTAAATATCGTTTTATATAATATCCCTTTACAAATTATAATTTCAGTTCTCGAATCTACTAAAGTGGACATTATTGACAAATAATCCTTTGACAAATATGGTGGTTGGGGGAAGTAAGCCATGTTCAACATTGTTCACATACTCTACACCATGTATATCACCTTTCATGGCGGGTGACTCTAGCCAGACAACAGTAAAATTACTTGTACAAAAATCAAAGAAGGTATTATGTGCACAAGTGGAGAATCATTTTGTGGAACTTCTTTTTAGCTTCTTAACTATCCCATTGGGTGCATACGAACATTTAACAAAGGATATGAGTTCATCACCCGTGGGTATAAGTAATCTATATAAAAGCATTTCAAGTTTGGGAGTAAGAAAATACTTGAAATCTGAGGATGTGAAGACCATATTACTTTGCTCAAAAGTTGCAGTTAATTACTACTGTGTCACTGATTTGCTTCCGATTTATGAAGTTAATACACAACCAGGTCGATTCCTTAAAGAACAAGCAACATTCATAGTGATCTGATAGTAACAGCTTCTCAATCAATAGCTACAATTTCAAACTTCGATGCACCTGGTGTCCCTATTGTTGATATGGAGTTTCTTGACCTCTGCATTGGTGAACAAGAGGTAATTAAGCTATAATAAATCCATTAATTTAGTTTAAATAATTTGCATGAAACTATTTGCTTTGATTAAGCAGGCACTTTTACTTCTCAAGGTGTCTCTAATGTCAACATCAGCTTTAACTGATTGGCTAAGGGTATTACTATATAGGAAGAAACCAAAGGTAAAATCATCAGTTGAATCCCTTACAATCTATTTTAGGCAAATTACACCTATGTGTCTATCTTTTTCGTTGTTATTCCTTTACTCTATATTATTACAGTTGTGATAGTTTTCTGTTTTAGGGTTATTTGCTAAAAATTGCTTTCGCTGAAGATGGTGGAAGAGATTCAGAAGAAGATGATTTTACTTCAAAAGTGAATAAATATTATAATGATACATCATCCATGCGCCTCGCAAAATCCATGGTTATTTATTTCTGGAAAACAATTAAAAAAAATATTTTTTGCCTTAATCTGAGAAAAAACTTATGAATATTAGTTTAGTTTGTCTTTTCACTTTTCAAAATTGTCAAAAATTACATATTGGTTTATGATAAAAAAATTGTTTAATAAAATTAGTGAAAAATATTATAAGAACATATAAAAAAGCTATAAAAGTAGGTAACTAATTGTACGCTTAAATGTACATGATTAAGAAAAATGACCAGCAAAAACTATCATCTAGATTGGTAAAAGAACAATTTAATAGGTAAAAAACATTGTGTGTGTGTGTACGCTTAACCTCTTCCCATTCGCATTTTATGTAGATGTGTACGTATTATTTAAACACATAGTTGATAAAATGAATAAATTTATTAACTATTTGATACGAACCTCTTCCTTGGCATTGTGGATGCGGTTATAAGTTATTGACCTATCACTATTCACTACAACGATTTCATAGTAAACGGCAAAGTCAAACAGTCAGGATTATTATTTATTATCCATATTTAACTAGTAGTTACTTTGCTTTCTTTCATTTATTTTCTTTTGACCATTACAACCAATCGATGGGTCACTCCAGGAATTGAATCCAAACATAAGTCCTATTCTCATGAGACCAACCACCGAAAGGTTGAATTATTAATTAGTTTATATTCTAAAACAAATATATGAAAAATATAGTTTAACAACACTTGTTATTGAAACAGACTAGAGAAATATAGTGAAGAAAATAATCAAGATTATCTTTATCTTCTCTTATGTTTATCTTATCTTTATTTGTTCCTAGTTTCCTATTAGGATTCTAATTTGATTTCATGTTTATCCGTTTGGATCCATTGATGTATAAATAGTCTTTAGTTGATTGAATGAAAGATAGATTTGGAATCAATTGTTCTAGTTTGAACCCTATTTCGTTTTCTATATGGTATCGGAGCGGGTCCTCTAATCTGCTGAATTCACAAACCAAGAATCGCCATGACAGGACAAATAGATGGCGCCGGAGGGAGTGGGAAAGACAAAGCCAAAAACCCCTCTTCTGATCCAGATTCGCCATGCTATATTCACCCCACTGATTATCCATGTCATATGCACGTGAATAGTCTGAATGACAATAAATACGCAGACTGGTCTCGGGAGATGAGTGACTTTCTCATCGCCAAGAATAAGGTTGGCTTCATTGATGGAACTCTTCCAAAACCAGCAGAAGATGCACAAGAATACAGAGCATGGTTGCACAGTGATGTTATTGTCAAGGGATGGATCACATCTGCCATGGAAAAAGAGATCAGAAACAGTGTAAAGTACGCAACGACTGCTAGATAGATTTGGAAAGACCTCCAAGAGAGATTTGCAAAAGAAAGTGCTCCACGGGCTTATGAGTTGAAACGAACTCTAACAACCATGAGACAAGCCAATCAGTTTATGCTTACTTTATAATGACGAGGGTCGTATGGGATAAATTGAGTTCGTCTCACCTCTACCAACATGTACCCTCAACAATTGTTCCTGCAACTTAGGAAAATGACTCATGGGGTCCAAAGAAAAGGAACACATATACGAATTTTTGATGGGTCTCGATGACAGTTTTGGGACCATAAAAACTGCTTTCTGCCGAGCCATCATGTTGAAATGCACTTCCATATATTGGACAATTTTACTAAAAAGAGCATTCGCCAGTGTATTCTGGGATTTAGGGGGTGGGCTGGTGTCCTTAGTGATAAAACTGCTAAGGTCAATGTCTGGAAGCTTGTTACGAAGAGAAGCTAAGGCACAAACATAATCAAAATCCATACCATATATGTCACTATCCCGTAAGATACGGTCTTGCAATACCCAAGATTGGGCCCTTGAGGCAACAAAAGCATATGAGGTAGCCTCTACTGCCGAGTGTAAACCCAAGACACCAAACTTAATGGGTGGGGAATCAATTCGCCACTGTATGTCGCCAAAGAAAGGGCCATCACAAACCACAATTTCCTCAATCGCCCCTCGCAACCCATTGTCAAAGAACAATGCCGCCTCCTCCATGTGAATGGTTTAGCATGTCCTCAGCCTAAAGAAAAGTTTAGCAATAGCCATACAATACCAAAATACAAGGAGCTCACTCTGCGGTCTAGACAATTTTAGGAGAAGACATATCAAATTCATAGCGTTTTCAGCTCTCTTTATGGCTAAGCTGCTAATGAAACTAGCATCTCTACTATCAGCTCCCCCGAGAAGTTTCACCCCTAATGGCGGTCTCCCAATGTCAACCGGGTATAGCCCCTCACGCAGCTTCCTACCATCACACGATGGCAAAAAGAGCTCGGTTTTCTTGATATTCAACCGAAGGCCCAATTTTGGGCCAATAACCTTAATGATGTCTAACGCTTTGGCCACCTCCTCCGAATCTCCAATAAGTATGTCATCATCAAGGTACCATGCATGGAGAAGAAGCTTGCAATTGTCTATAATATTATGCAAGAGCGAGTGCAACACAAGGGCAAAGAGAAGTGGTCCCAAGGGGTCTCTTTGTTGAACTCCATTAATTGACCAAATATATGTCTCCTAGATACAACCTTGCTCCTTGACCAGATAGCAATTCTATCCACAAGGATATAAAAGGGCACCTCAGTCTGACCTCATGAAGTAATGCAGATCTGTCAACAAGGTTAAAGACATTGGAGAAGTCCACGGTAAGCATGGAAAGAGACCCGTCATTATGACACTCACTCAACACCCTATTGACGCTATGTAATACGGCTTCAGCGCCACCCCACACCCCGACCCCGAACTGAAAAACATTGAGATGCTTGGCCACTTCTTTACCAACACCTTTCATAGCCAGTTGGAAACCAAACGTCTCCATATAGTGCCTACTGCAATAGGTCGTATTCCCTTGTTAGGTTTTAAGAGCGGTGTAAGAGGAACAGAGGCAACAAATTCTGCCAAACTCGAATGGAATCTTCCCCCCTAGCCATATATTAATCGCACATGTAATAGCACGTAGGAGGTCGTTGGCTATAATTGAACATTCGCCACAAAGAGCATCTAAAATGTGTTGAGCTCTCAACATATCTCTCCCACACGAGGTTCCTTTAAGGAATGATTTAATGTCCCTAAGTACATTGTCAATATCCACTACAAGGGAAGGTACTGACCATATGGTACTCAGCATGGATGGTGGTGGCTTGTGTAGATGCTTACCCTCCAATGACTTCGTGGTATCATCCCTGTATGGAGCAAACCCGAGGAACATAATACTTTCACTGCTGCTGTGAAATGTGTTGGATTAGTGTCTAAGTCCATAACTATTTTGGTATGTACTTGACCCGATTGTGAGCATGGTCC